CCTTTAAAAGAAGGCTTTGTGGCAGTTATCAGCATTATGGATGGAGTATTTTGCTGGACCTCATATTTGGTATTTGGAAATCTTCCACTTTATTTGCATTATTTATTTTTTACCTGGCAGGATTCAGCTGGCTAAGGTACAGATACTTCCGGAGAGAGTTCTGCCCTGTCCTTTGACGTCAATCCAGCTGGATTCTCAGAACCGCCATCAGGTCGTGCCATCGGGTAAAGCAGCCGGTGGTCGGGGCCCGCAGAGCAGCTGCCAATGGCTGCACAAGTACCGCAGGGTAAGGAAAGGGAGATTTACTAAGGAAGCTGTTTATAGAACTCGCAAAGTAATATTATTTTTGCTCATGAATTTCATCTGGTTGTTTTCCAGTTTATGGTTATTGGTCAGAGAATTGTGATGTGGACATTTCAGTAAAAGTAGACACAACTGCCAAAGATAAAAAGGGACTGTGGGTAATGCCCTGAAATCATTCAGAATTAATTGACCTGCACCTTCATTTGATCTGCTTCAGTGGGGTTTTGTTGCATCCCCATACAACTCATACATACCCGCTTGAAGCGGATAAAAGTCTAACATGGGCCCTTAAAGCCCATCTCCAGGCTCCCCTTATGAACTACCACACTCCTCCCATCACGTGATGACCAGTCCCGAGTATTCTCTCCTCTCCCGAGTCCTTCTTCAGGGGGTCTGCGTCACTGCCTGCATGACATAGACACTTCCTATTGGCTGTCTAGTGACGAGGTCAGTCAGAGGAGTTGTGTCAGTGCAAGGGGACACCCCGCACTCTAAAATGGCACTGGAGAGAGGCCCGGGCTGTGGACTTTGGTGAGTCTATCTTGCTTCACAAGGTCAGAAATAAAATGCAGGATGGGTAGAGAGATGTGGGGCGGGGTTCATGTTTTGGCCGGAGACGGGCTTTATTATAATACCATATAAAAGGATATAAATAAGACACATCCTGTATTTCCTGTTAACCTATAGTTTATTGTCTCTTCTTTCCACAGAGAAAGTTCTATGGTGCCAATCTAACCTCTTGGCCTTGTTGGCTCTACGCTTTGTATGACGCTGTAAGTATTGATGATACCAGACATGTGTAAGCCATCTTCACTGCTTTAGGGCCTTGTTTGTTGATGGACTTCAATGGGCAAATACAGCATGTTTATACATCAGTTTAATGCATTTCTGAGATCATTCAGAATTTGGTGCAGTTTGGTGCTGCTTTAGCTGCCTTTGCATTCCCATAGACTTGCATGGGGAAAGAGGAAGTTCTAATGTCCAAAAAGCCCATTGACCCAGGCCCTTACTATAGGATCAGAGAGAGCAGTGTCCTTGAGGAAGAGGCCCACAAAGAGACTTGCAAGTGATAAGTTTGAATTATGAGGCTCGCATATCATCTCTGGTTGGCTGGGGAGCCAGGAGAGCCTTGGCTGGAAAGAGCAGAGCCTTCTCTCTAACTTTTTGTGTAGGCCTTCAATCCTACTTTTACAGATCGCTGGTTCGGCCTCATCTGGAGTACGCAGTCCAGTTTTGGGCACCAGTACTCAGAAAGGACCAGTTCACAAAATATACAGGGCTATGCAATTCCTACTAAGCGCCTCTCTCTCTGTCTCTCGCTTTCCATATCTCTCTCTCTCTCTCTCTCTCTCTCTCTCTCTCTCTCTCTCTCTCTCTCTCTATATCTCTCTCTCTCTCTCTCTCTCTCTCCCTCTCTCTCGTTCGGCCTCATCTGGAGTACACAGTCCAGTACTCAGAAAGGACGTCCTTGAGCTGGAAAGAGTCCAGCGGAGGGCAACCAAACTAATTAGGGGAATGGAGGACCAGAGCTATGAGACACGACTACTAAATTTAAACATGTTCACGCTGGAAGTAAGGAGATTAAGGGGGGGTATGATTTTCATGTACAAATTGTTCTATGGTGACAGCAACATTAGCAACAAACTCTTTACGATTAACTCCGTAACAAAGACTAGAATCAAAGACTAAAATTCCAGCACAAGGGGCGAAGGGGGCTTCTTCACAGTTAGAGCGGTTAGTCTTGAACTCACTGCCACAGGCAATGATTTCAGCTAAGAGTGTGGAATTGTTCAAGAAGCTTTTGGACGATGTCCTGAGAAACCATAACATACAGGGGTACAGGTACTCTTAAGAATGAACTGATACAACGACGTGTGTGTGTGTGTGTGTGTGTGTACGTACGTACGTACGCGCACACACATCCATCAGCAATAGGTTGGACTTATGTCTTTATTCAACCTCAACCTCAAATACTATGTAACTACCTGTGAACTTAAATCATAACATACAGGGGTACAGGTACTCTGTGTAACTACCTGTATAATGTCATTAATCTTCCAAAAAAAGTTTGGCTCTACAATCAATGGCTCTAGCTGTGTGCTCAACGTTTCTTTTATTACTATATTATTGAATAGTAAATTCCTGGTTGATCCTGTGATTTCCCTCAACGTTCTTATTCAGAGTGGCAAAATTATTCCGGCTGATCCATTGCCAATTCTCACTGCGCCAGCTCCAGTTTTCCCCTGGGAGGAAGCTGTGCTTTGCTCTGAGCCCGAGTGGTATATGAAAACACATTCCCTCATCTCTTTGGTACATGTTCCTCCCTGCTGGCCACTGGTGCTTCAGACATTAGCTGGGCAGTCTGTCCCAGAAGCAGGTCTGATAGAGTGTAATCAAGCAAATAATCAGCAGCTTGCACAGCTAAAGGCTGCAGCACCCATTGGCCAGCAAGGAGGAGCATGCATGTCTAAAGGGATGCTGGGGATGTGTCTATTCATACACCGCTCAGGCTCAGAGTTTCATCACATGCTGAAACTAATCTCCGGCCCACTATTGGACAGTGAGGTGTTGAGGTACATGGGCTACATCATGTGACTGCAAGATAAGAGGCAAAAAATGGTATTTGAGCTGAGTGAAATTGTGCAATTTATGGCTAGTTATTGTTGGGATCTTATTTAATACTCATATGCAATAAGTAGTTATAATGGATTTACATACACTTTAAATAATGTGATAACATAACTGTTGTCTGTCTCCAGGACTCTCTGATGGAGCGAGTGAAGCGGCAGCTGCACGAATGGGATGAGAATCTCCGGGACGACTCTTTGCCTGCTAATCCGATAGGTGAGAGCACTGACACCCTGAGTCCATGTGTATAAGAACACCGTCCAAACCCCCCTGACCCACAAAACCCTCCCCCTTAACTCCACCTTACCTCCACCTGACCCTAACCTTGGTTTGTTAAATCCCCACTTACCTGGTTCTCTGGATTATCCTGGCATGACGTAATCTTAAACTGCGTAAGGGGTATTTTACTTTGAGAGTGGTAAAAATGTGGAATTCACTTCCACAGATAATTGTATCAGCGGGAAACATAAACTGCTTCCAAAAACAGTTCCTCAGTTCACAAAATATACAGGGCTATGCAATTCCTACTAAGCGCCACTCTCTCTCTCGCTCTCTCGCTTTCCATCTCTCTCTCGCTTTCCATCTCTCTC